GTTGGGCCCATTAAGAGCCCATGGTGATGGACTCAGGGGTTCATTGTCTCCTACAGTTAATTCGGCCAGACCTTGTAACAAAGGATGGGCTGAATCCATGTGGCTGATGTGTAGATCAATGTTTGAGTCCCACACCATACAAGGATAGCCAACTGGGCAGCAGGTTAAGAGGGCTAGTGAGCACATAGACTTGATGGGCCTAGAGCCCATTCGAATTGGCTTAATAAGATTAATTAAATAAGGGGCRGTTCTGGGATTTGGATCAACTGATAGGATAAGGGATTATCCCTATCCACTCAAAGAGTCTAGATCCAAATAAAGATTTGGATCAGGAAACTCCAAATTTGATTAGGAAGGCTAATCTTCCTCTGTAGATAAGATAAGGGATTATCCTTATCTCTTAAAGAGAGTCCAGATCCAAATATAAGATTTGGATCGGGAAACTCCTAATAGGATTAGGAGAACCTCTCTTTAAGGCTATAAATAGGAGAGAAGGGCGGACCTCCAAACACACTCACAATCTGCTGAATTGAGAGAGAAGACAACTCACAGTTTGACTGCTCTTGTCTTCTGCTCTTTTCTTCCTGTTCTTGCCGCCCCTACCCAGTTCGATCTCCACCAGTGGGAGTGATCAATAACCGTTCTTGATAATGCTTCTTGCTAGAAGAGGCAATCTGAAGTTGTGCTCACCAGCCCTTTACTACATTCTTGCTGAAGAATTCAGTTCTTGCTGAAGAGCTGTCCTGCTGATTTTGCTTCACCTCACATTGTGTCATTTTTAGTGGGAGCAGATTTTGGTTTTCTCCTTGGGCGTGAACACATTCATTGGGAGTTACTGTTACTCCGTATCAGGTATATCCCTCTCCTCCCTTTTTGGTTTCAGATTTGGTCCTGTTTATTTCAAGATTGATCATTGAAAATGCAGTTTTCTAAAATAGGGAATGTGATTCCCAGATGGGAGAGAGAGAAATTTTTGAAATTTCGCCCAACCTTCCGGCAGGGTTCGGCCATCCATATGATGGATCTCTCATCCCTTCAGATAAGACATCACCCAACCCAGGAAAACAACATATCAGCTTAACCTCTTGTACCTAAAAACAACCCTGAAAATAAATTACATTTTGAGGTACCCTACCCCAACCAAAGCTGAAAACCCGAGAAAACATAACATCCCCTTCCATTGAAACTCATACAAGCAAGCAAAACTGATAACTCCTACCTAACCTTTTATCTCAACCTTATTTATCAAAAAATAACCTTTTATCTCAACCTTAAAACAAAAACACCTACCCTGAACCCAAAAACCCATTCGATGGGACTTAAACACCATGCTTTACCCAATTCCTCATTGCCTCTGATGTCTTAAACCAAACTTTCTTTTCTTATCTGAATGGTTTTCTTCGTCTTCTTCCCCTTCTTTGGAACCACCCCAAAAACTCCCAGCTTTATCTGGAAAAAACTTTTGAAACTTGCACTGTTTGATTTGTTTTCTTTCTTCTAAATCTCCTTACTGAGCATTAGGAGGTTTCTCCTTGGTTAAAAAAGCCTCCCTGTCCACATTGATCCTTTCTAATTCAAAGATCACATTCTTTTCATCAGTTTTCAGACTCTCGTTCACCTCGACCAATGAAGAACCAGAACCAGCCCCCTTATTGCTTGAAATTAAAGTCTCCTTCTCTTTCTCCTTTGAACTATCTCTTGACATTTCTTCCACCTCCCTAAAAGTTTCCTTAGTAATACTAAGGCGCAATACAATGGGAACATACAAGTATTTAGAAGTATCTTTAACTAAACCTTTTCACAAATGGAGTTTCAAAATAAAAAAAGGCAAAATATAGCTAATACCTCTAAAGTCCATGCATATCAGCAGCCATGAGTACATACATAATCCCCGTATCTTCCTTAGTACTATATCTTCATCACTTATCTGTTCAAAAACCATAACTCTCTTCTACCACTCATTTACTACTTTTTCTTCTTTCCCAGAGGTTTGATCTAAATCTGGATTTGAGCTGTGATTCTATCTTCTGGAACGCAACAAGTTTACTGATTTAATATATCTTCAACAATCACACAAGTTTCTACCATCCTTCAAGTTTTGTTGTGTTTCTACAAAACATTAGATTTTCTCTAGATATCATCAAACTTAGAAACCCTAGAAAACTCAATCAAAACCTCTCCATATACCTACTGTTCTCTACATTTCGCCCATTCAGACATTCCTTTCAGCTCATTTTATTTAATTCATTATGTTTTTCAAGATATCTAAGTCTTTCTTTTTTTTTTTTTTTTGATCAATAACGCATTCATTAGCAACTTCATTAAATCAGGAAAAAGATGATTACAAAGAAGAAGACAAGCACTCTTGTCTTCCACATACAGCTTGAGCACATAAGAAAAGAAAAGAAAAGGAAATGGAAACAGTAATTTACAAATTGGCCCAAAACATTGAGTCCCTTTCTACCTCTTGTTTAGCTAATCCATCAGCCAAGGAATTAGCCGATCTTTGAACCCACCTCATCTTCACTTCCATCTCCCTCACCAGCCACTTAAAACTTTTTCCTCTCATTACTGTAATTCTATAGGCTACTGTTATCTTTATTCAGCCACCCTATTACCACCTCTGAGTCCCCTTCAATTATGATTTTTCTGATATTCATCTCATTGGCTTTCTGGATCCCTTCCATAACTGCATAAATCTCAGCTCTAAGGGAGTCCCCCACTCCAATTGGGCCTGAGTATAATGCAGAAATGACCCCATTCTCATCCCTGAAAACACCTCCAATCCCTGACTGTCCAGGGTTCCCTCTACTACTGCCATCAAAATTCAGTTTTAAGAATCCAGCAGGTGGGGGGTGGGGGGTGGGGCAAGGCACACTCATTGCTGATTTGCTCTGAAAACACCTCCAATCAAAGTCTTTCTTTTTCCCARTTTGATCCAACCTTGTCAAGTTGGGAAATTGTTGAACCAAAGCCAACGAAAATACTAGAAAACCGAATGGTCGGGTTGGTCGGTTTCATCAGTTTGATGAACAACCTTAGCTGAAATTAATTATTGTTATTTTTGTATTGTAAAATAATTATTAATAGTAATATATAAAATATAGGGGAAAATCTATGATGCAGGCAGGATATGGTATTGAAAATAGTTTTGACCAATCAAATTCCACCCATGAATTTTGATATATAACACCTGATTGGCTACCATGTTTATGATACCAATTGATTGGTCAAAAAATTTTCAGATATCATATCTTTCCTATATCATAGTCGAACCCTATATATAAATAGCTATTAATTATTTAAAATAAAAAATATAAAACAATTATATACTTTTATGTGTTTCTATTGCTTAGCTTTCGCTTAACAAATCTCATGCATCGCACGAGTCCCCACTGTACTATATTATAAAGTGATTAGGTCCCACATCAACAACCCTCTCCTTATCCCATTTCCCCTTCTCTCTTCTCTCCTTAAACTCTCCTTTCTCCCTTGCCCCTTCCTAGCCCTTCCATGTAGACATGTGGCAGCCCTCTCTTCTTCACTAGAGTCCCACTCCAAATCTCTCTCTCTCTCTCTCTCTCTCTCTCTAGAATCCTTTATTTGAAATCTAACTTTTGGTTTCAACCCTAAATCATTCCTTAAAGCTATTCCCATCTTATTAGCTCCAAATCATAACTCTAAACCTTTGCCCTATTTCTCTTCACCTTTTCCTTTCTCTCTTTACAACAGTCCTATATTTTTAAACACCTGCCAAGTGTTCATAGGAAGGTTGGCTATCCATCTTACACCATTGAATTGCATACATTTCGTTTTTTTTTTAATTTGAGAACTTTATATCCAAGAAGTGTAATGCCAATTTTGACCTCTGCCTTGTCATGAGTTGGCAATGCAAAAAGCTTACAAGAGGATTTCCCTGACATTTTACATTTTGAGGGATAGCCTGGTTGAAATGTTAATGTGATAAAAGAATCTCACTTCAACTAATGAAATGGTTTATTAACACAATGATCATTTGTTGTACACAAAATGGCATGATCAAGAAACCTATGTGCATTCAAACTGAAGAACCTCTTAATCCAGCAAAAAGAAAAAAGAACCAAGAGAAACCTCCAGCATTATTAGACATAAAGATAACATTGTCATATTCTAGATAATCTCTTGGCAAATAAAAATAACCAATAAGCAACTATTGATACTGGGAATACTCAATGTGGACATGCATTTTCCCTACATCCCTACTCGGGCTCTTTCGTCTACCAAAGCCGGTTTCTCATAAAGGAGCAGTTTAAACTCACTTTGAAAAAGAATACTGCTGCTATTAGACCAGTCTGTGCATAGTCTAGCGTTGTATATATACAGCTGAGTAAAACTCTTTGTAATGCCTGCAAATTTTGAACCATGGGTTAGATAAATTGGATATATTTGCAAAAGAAAAAACTTAAAAGCATTCCACTGGCTCATGAGTCATGACAGAATGTAACTAATTTTCAACTTCACGTATCTCTGGTTTTAAAGCCATAAATTATATCAGCTACTCATTGTGGCCACTCAATTTTCAAATGGAGTTTTGAAATTTCAAAGTTAAACTCTTGGAGATGTTTTCAGTTACCCGGTAACTGCTAAGCTTGAAATTTTGGAGTTCTCACTTCTGAGGTTTAAGCCTCACAGTTATACATATGCATGTCCTAACACCTCATCTCATGCCTCCACATCCCACATTTTAGTCAAGGACTAACACTATATTTTGTTCAGAACAATACCAAAAGAGATAATATTAAAGGGAAATAAAATCTAAGGATGTGGAAATGTCAAATGCACCTAATGGAGAAGGCATGGCCCAACAAGCTCGTGATAAGGAGGAAAAGAATATCTAATACAAGATCCAAAAATACAAGAGTATGTACTATCCTGCAAGGGAGCCTCCCAATATAGTTCAGATTTCCCCACTCCTTGATCCAAGCTATTGACCAAGAAGTTAGCTAATCCCTGGGTCCATCTGAAAGGATATATTCGTTCTGGGAGCCAGACCTCTTGCCTCTCTAATGAGATGACAGAAAGTCAAGGCTTCTCAGCACTATCATTGAACCCAATCAATAACCACCTGTGAGTGAGGCAGATCATCTCCACCCCACTCCCCTCCAGTAAAAGAAAGCTCGAACCAACAAAGGCACTGGCCTAAGAACCTGACTTTGTTTTAGGCACTTCATCTCAGTCCAAAGGGAATCTATGAACCAATTGCGCCAGAATAAAGACTGGTACAACACGTAAATTCAGGAATGCCTACTGATCCCATTTTTAGAAATCACATTCATTAATGGATATGTAATGTCAAATTCAGGGGTTGTGTATCCCAATAAGGCAATCTTTATCTAATTCTACTGGCTCACCTAAGTGGGACAAAAACTCCTAAAATTTCTTTTTTTTTTTTTTTTGAGAGTTAAAACTCATAAAATTTGTTATCAGAATGATCATGGTGTTTCAAATACCAAAGCATTCAGATCCTGTATGAGGAACTTATGTCTTCTTTAACTAGGGCTTTTCCTCCAAGTCTTATCCAACTGGTATTGTCATCATCATCATCATCATCATCCAAGCCTTATCCAACTATATGGGGTTGGCTACATGAATCCTGTTTTGTAAGTCTGTTCTATTTAGTGCCATATCCATAGTTAAATTATTGGCAAATCATTTCTTACTACTTCTACCCATGTCCTTTTTGATCTACCCCTTGCTCTTCCAAAAAGAACTGAATTTTGAAGAAAGCATGATAAGTTTATATATAGTTGCAACTTCATAATAAATAGCATAGGTTGCCAATTTGATTTGAAATGAAATTGCAATTTTGTATATTCAGTTTCAACAGTTCTGTTAAATGAGCCATTTCAAAAAGAAAACAGAGGTCATAAGCCATATATACCTTTAACCAAGGAGGGCCCCGAAGTCTCTCACGTTCACGACTTCTTATCCTTGCAATTCTAGAAGAAGTATCCATCTACCTTGATATCAATTTGCAAAGAGTTGCAAGGTAGTGAGAATAAGTAAGGATAAAAGTAAAAAAAAAAAACAATAAATAAGCAAGAAGTCCAAGATGGGAGTTTTTTCTCCCTGAAAATATGTATACCAGCTCCTGTTCTGTTGCACGACAGACGTGAATCCCAAGTGCATGTAGCCCAGGAGAATAAAAGCCGGTTGCATCCAACAGATATAACAACTGATAAGCAAATGTCATTCCTGCACAAGAAACACTAAAATTTATATTGAGTGGTTGGAAAATTCAAAGTGACATAGAAAAGCAGCTCTAAATCCAACAGGAGAGAAAATCTACTAATAGGTTCTGTTAGATAACCGATTCATACACAATTTCATCCATATGGTGGACATCTCATATGAACTCTAGATTATGAACTTAGACCCAAAAGAAAAATGTATTTCCCATAATTATTACAAGCAAAATGATCCTTAAAAACTTCAGGTTCCATCTTAACTTATTGAAAATATAGGTTCGAATTGCATATTACAACAGTGAAAAAAGGATGCACCTAAATATTTGGTGGTCAATTGGTTACTGGAATAAGACCATAATTAACTTGTCAAGAAGGAAAAAATGCAACTAAGTTGACTGTTACATATCTGATATGGCTAGGGGAAAACATAAGCAATAGAACTGCACAATGACAACAACAATAACAACAAAGACTTCATCTAAACATATGGTAATCAATTTTGCTGAAATAATTAATTTGTCAAAAAATGGCAACCAAAATGGCAATGGCAAGAAAGTACCAAACTGCACTTAGTGACAACTTATGCAACTGAGAAAAAAAAATCAAAAAATAAAATAAAGTAGAATGGGGGGGGGGGTGCAAAAGCTGAATAAGCAGGAAATAATGAATTCACATGACTTGTAGGGCTGTAAACAGTCCAATTAATGAAAACTGAAATCTGAATCTGACCTGAATTCCTTTTAGATTTGAAAATCTTGGATCGGATTTGGACTTAATCTGACTCCACTTTTTTTTTTTTTTTAAATAAAGAAAAATTTAAAAAGTTAAATTTTTAACTTATATATAATAAATTAATATAAATATGAAATATTGAGTTTACTGTATATATATATATATATAAATTTATATATAGTATAATAATAATATAACATTATATTTTAATATTTTATATGTAACTATATGAATCTATCTTTCAAAAAAATATAACCATATAAATTTTATATATTAAAATCAGTATAATATATTCAGATTCAGATTATAATCAGGTTGAATGTTGGATTGGATTTTGGACTTTTGAAGTCCATTGACAATCCTAATGACATGCACATCAAAAGCAAATAAGACAAGCAGCAATAAACCAAGATACCTAGATACAGAAATGTACATGCATATGGATACGGATGCTGTAAATGGGGTTACAACTGTCCATTTCCTAAGAGCCAAGAGACAGATTCAGTTATGAGATATCTAATTTAACATGCTGATACTCATTCTCTTATATCTGGATTTCAAAGACAACTACCACTAATGAAAATATGGAACTACCAGTTTCTCACTTACAAACTGACATGCATTGAAGTCAGTTTTAATTTCAAAACCTAAAGTTTTGGTAATTCAGAAAAATAAGATATGCCAGATCATAGTTTGGTACTTTCAGACAAAAATAAATAACATCCTCCAAGAGAACTAAGGGAAACAGTACCATTATTAAAAATGTTAAAAAATAAAATAAAATGAATCCCCAAAACGATTGAAGCCTTGGACAAACAACTAAAAGCTATGTATACCTTCATTGCCTGCATGTAGCCATGGGTAGCAAACACCTATAATTGCCTCAATTCTCTTTCTTATACGTGTCCAGTTTGATGCCTCGGGATCTAACAAGCCTCTCCGAGCAACAGAAGTTTCCCCTCCATCAAAATAGTCAACGTCACCAAAACTTGCATCATCATTTCCCCATAAAGTTGCTTGAAGTGCGGCTTCCCTTTGTTTATTATATATTGAATGCAATTTTGACTTAAAATATGGCAAAACAACCTACAAAAGAAATAATAGTCATATTTCGTTTCCCTTTCAACATTTTTTTTGTTTATCGAAAAAAAAGGAAAAAGAAAATTTATTAAGAAGAAGAAAGGAGAGTACAGCTTTTGATTTAAATAGAAAAAACTCTGAAGCAACAATCAAATATTCCAGCAAAACAAATATTAGAATCTATTAGCTAGTAGTGTTTTTTGGACAACTTTTGATTCAAAGAAATCATCAATTATGATTAATAAAGAGCTTGAAGAGGCAGGTATAAAGTTATCAATATTATTTAAATGGTTAGTCATTTCTAAAATTCCCCAGAGAAAGAAAAACTTCAGTAAGCTACAGAACTGCTAAAAGTATCCTTATTTTCGTATTGGGCCCCATGGAATAACTTTTAATCACCTTGTATATAACATTCAAATTAATTGGGTTAGAAGATAGGCCAACAGTTTGGAAGATAGTCTGGCCAAACAAGGGGGTACAAAAACAGTCAATGTTTTGGGCCTATATGTAATTTTTTGGGGGTTTGGACAACTGGTGTCCTCTTTGTTTCCCTCACAACTTCCGGTTGTACTGTTTCTCTAATTCTAATGAAATTGTTTTCCTGAGTTACTGATAAAAAAAAAAAGAGCAAAACAATAAAATAGAAAATACAACAAACAAGACAGTCAAACCATGGAACTATCATGGCTGGACTTAGCGCCTACTTGTGACCAGGGAAATTGGAAACTATGGAAACAAATCCAAAATCTAATTTAGACTAAGGCAATATAAGCTAAAATACTATTAACCATAAAGTATAAAAAAAGTTGTTGTATGACATAATATACATTGGGCTTAAAGCACATCCATGGAATCTTGGGATATTGAGCAAATATAGGAAATTGACAATGGAACTATGGAAGAGATGCTGCAGAAAAAAAAGCAATATAACAACTACATGCTGAAAGGTAGAGTAACTCCAACAATAACTATTACAAATGGTAAAATGGAACTTAATCGTCAATCTGATCAAAATATCTCCTATAGATAAATACAATCGTATAAAGAAAATGGACTGGTACAAAAACCTAAAAGAATCATACGGAATGGAGTGAGAAACATGCACACCGATAAACTACTAGAAGAATGTGCAATTAAAATGTCAACATGTTTCCTAATATTTCTGTTGAAATCAGTTAGCCGCTCTTAGTTTTTTATTTATTTTTCTGTTCTTTAGTGCCACAGGGGCACTCTTGTAATTTCCCTTATTTTTATTATTAGTTGGGTCGCCCTAATATAAAAGCTAATGGCTGGCACCACCAGCCATAAGTTTGAATCCAAATTTTTTCTTCTCTCCTCTTCTCCCTTCCTCCTCTCTTCCTCTCCTCTGATATCTCTAGCCTGGAAAACATGGTGTCAGAGCAGGCTTTCTGAGATTAGGAAGAGTGTGATAAGTCTTCCTTCTTCTGACTTCTCCTTGCTGTGGATCGAATCTGATCAAGAAGTAGATCAGACTGATCTGAAGGGGGTTCTACCAGTCTCCTTCCCTTCTTCTTTGGCCGTGTGCCAAGAAACCTTTAAAAGAAGGGAAATCTGATGCTGCGAAGACGGATCTTTCTTCTGTGGATCGTGTGATCCTTTCTTGTACCCAGGTAAGGTGTTTTTTTGGGGATCTAGATGACCTGAAACTGCTAGATCTCTTTGAACTGTGGATCGTGTGATCCTGATTTTTTTTACCCAGAAAACTGGGCGGTGTATGTCTAAATGACCTGTAACTGTAAGACGGTGGTCGGCTATATTTCTTGGAATCTTTTCCAGTAGATGTGTGGTATCCCTAAAATTTATACATGACTGAGATTGAATTCAAGATTGAACCGAACTGAACTGTGGCTGAACTGAATTGGGGATTGAACTGTGGCTGAACTGAGGACTGAACTGTGTCTGAACTGAATTGGGGACTGAACTGACTGAACTGAAATTGAACAGTGGCTGAACTGAACCAATCTGAACTGAACTGTTAATGAATTGTGACTGAACTGTGACTGATTTTGAACAGAACTGATCTGGGAACCTAAGTCCTATAACATGTCATCTGAGGATTCTATCCTGTCTAGTGGGTCCTCCAGTCAAGGTGGAGTGGGGGATTTGACATGAGTTTCCCCATGGCTGTAATACCTTTTGATGGTCTTAGCTTCCTAGAATGGTCAAGAGGAATCAAACTATACATAACAGCCAGGGAGAAGGAAGGCTATATTAATGGTAAAACTAAAGAACTGAAGTCTCAGGGGGTAGAGCATGATAGGTGGGATCAGGAAAAGTGGAAAACAGCATGGTGATGTCATGTCATGGCTGTTACTTTCTATGTTGCCTCCAGTCAGGAAGACTATCATGTGGGCTGAAACAACTATTGAGATTTGGGAGCAAGCAAAATCTACCTATTCAGAGCAACATCATTATGCCAAAATATACCAGTTGCAAGCTACCTCCAAAACTTGTAAGCAGAGGGAGAGGACCCCTCTCAGCCTACTATTCAGATTTGACCTCAATTTGTAAAGAACAAGATCACTATCAGAACATTGATTGGAAGTGTGATGCTGATGCTGAGGCCTACAAGTCTCTGGTTTCCCAACAACGGGTTTTTGCCTTCCTCTTGGGGCTGAACCCTGTATATGAGTCCCTTAGAGTTCAGATATTAGGAAGTAAAGATCTTCCTTCAGTACAAGAAGTGTATGCTTTAGTTCAATACGAAGAGAGCAGGCGAAGTGTGATGAATAGTTCCGAGGGGGAGCAGATTGCCTTAGTGGCTAAAGGGAGTATGGGTGTAGGAGGCAATGATTCTTTTAAGAAGGGTGACTTCCAGAAGAGAGTGGATGATAAGGATAAGTTATGGTGTACTCATTTCTAGAAGGCCAGACATACTCGAGATACTTGTTGGGACCTCCATGGAAAGCCAAAATGGGCCCAGGAGTTGAGTAAGAAATCAGATCAGAATAAAAAGTTGGGACAGCAGAGTCAGAAAAAGTTCAATACAGCAAAATTGGCCTCTCAGGAGCTCTAGTCATCTACTGCTATTAACCAGGATCGCCCATCCATTGCCAATCCCCGGGAAGATATCATTAATTCTTTCCGTGACCACTTGGATCTGTATGGGAGAGCAATCCGCCAGATGGATTCAGCTCCTCCTGCCTCGACTTCTTTTGCATCTACTTCAGGTAGTGGTAATCCTGCCATAGCCTTCCATGTGTCTTCCCATTCATCTAATTCCCCTTGGATAATTGACAATGGAGCCTCAAACCATATGGCAAGTCAAATTGTTTTCAATCCTATCAACTTTTATCTGGTAGGGACAAAGTGAGATTAGCTGATGATTCTTTTTCCACCATAGCTGGTCAAGGAGCCATAACCATTCCTTTTGGACTTACCCTTTCTAATGTATTACATGTTCCGAAATTACCTATAAATTTGTTTTCTGTCAGTACTATTACAAATTCATTAAACTGTTCAGCAACCTTTTTCCCTTCTTGTGTTCTACAGGATTTGGACTCGGGGAAGATGATTGGTAGAGGTCGTATGGTGGATGGTCCCTACATGCTGGAGAACAAAGATAATTTTGCGGTCATTGAGTCTATGAGTCAAGTTTACTTATGACATAGTTGTTTGGGTCGTTTATCGTTTGAGTCGCTAAAGGTCTTACTTCTGGATTTATTTAAATCAGTGTTAGTGTTTGAGTTCAAATGTCAAACTTGTCAGTTGAGCAAACATTGTAGAAATCATTTTTCTTCAAGAAATAATAAATCCAATTTTCCTTTCCATATTGTTTATTCTGATGTTTGGGGCCCTGTTACTTTACCATCTAAGATTGGCTATAAATATTTCATTACTTTTATTGATGACTATTCAAGACATAGATGGGTGTACCCCATGCAGTTCAGGGATGAAGTACCAAAGATTGTAAAAGATTTCCAACACATGATATTCACCCAATTTCAGACGGAGATCCAAATTTTCTAGTCTAACAATGCCAAAGAATACTTCCACAATGATCTCACAGAGTTCTTTGCTTCGTGTGAGTCTATCCATTGTAGTACCAAAACTCCTCAACAAAATGGTGTTGTAGAAAGAAAAAGCGCCATCTACTTGAAATGGCTCGTGGGTTACTCATCCATATGAGTTCCAAAATGTTTTTGGTTGGATGTTGTGTTATGTTCTACCTATCTCATCAACTGTATGCCATCTCGGGTGTTAGGGTACAAGGCCCCTCATCAGCTCCCATTCCCTAAAGCTCCCCTCTTTTCTATTCCCATTCGTGTGTTTGGTTGTCGTTGTTTTGTTCAAAACTTGTCTCCTACCCGTGGTAAACTTGACCTTCGTGCACTTCCTTGTGTATTCTTGGGCTATCCTTCTTCTCAAAAGGGTTATCGTTGTTTTTGTTGAAATATTTTTAATTATTTGTGTTAGGGTCTGTTTGGCTAGTTAAAGTGTTATTTATTTATTTATTTTATTTCTGTTATGTCTGTTATTGCACTCACTTACAGCAGGGGCACAAGGGTCTTTTCCCTTCTTATTTCTGCCGCCCTATATAATATAATAAAATCTGGAGCCGCCAGCACTGTTCCATTGCCAATCTCTTCTCTTCTCTTCTCTTCTCTTCTCCCTTCTCTCTTCTTCTTCTCTTCTCTTCTCTTCCTCTTATTTTTGGCCAGCCACACTGTCAAGATGGTATCAGAGCAGGAATATTGACCGAGAGAACATATCAAACAAGCTTCCTTCCTTTTCCAACTTGCTGAATCTGGGCTGAAGAAAACAGATCTACAACCGGTACAGTCCTTCCTTTTTTGTCTCTTCCTTACCCTCCTTGGTCGTGTACCAAGTGAAAAAACAAAATGAATCTGGGCTGCTGAATGCTGTCAGACCTTTGTGAGGTTTATACCTCTTGTTTTTTGGGATCATGTGATCTTGTTCCTGTGTCAAGGTGACTGTAGGTCACGGATGACCTGTTATCTCATTATTTTGGCTTGATTATAAGT